GACCCAGAACTGTTAATATTATGGATGAACCACGAGCTGAAGGATGCGGACTAAGGGGTGTCAGTCCACAATTATCCACTAGAGCTAGTCCAGCTTGAATGCTATGGACTGATTTTTATCTCCCGAAGGCAAATATGACTGAGATTAAATCAACACATTTCGGTTCTAGTGTTGTTATGAACAGAGGCTACGACCTAAATCGAGGTAAGCAACCGTGTTTAAGGGACTCACCACCTTTAGCTTTTGCCTGTTGAAGCCAAGCCGAAGGCACAAGCGCTAGTTACCTCGGCATTTCCTCTAGATACTTATAATCGAATTATGGTCTGGTAAGTGTACTGTATTTCCTACTTAAATCTCGATAAATACTACTACTTTCGGTCGAACTTCTCATGTATGTCAGTGTTGCTAGGGATCTAAGGAAAATACCATAGAAATCCGTATATCACCCTGATCAAGACTTTATCTGATCGTTAGATCACGTCAATTGGAGGATTAGCTCTCTAAAGACAAAATTTTAGTTCGGTAGCCCATCATAAAATCTCCCAGTGTCTGCTCATACGGGAGCAGCGGTGCCCTCAGTTATGGTTTAAAAAATGGCAGTTAGTCTAGTGGAGTAAGCGAATGATACACCCCTGGTGTTCGTCCATTTGGACAATGAGCAAGGTCCACGTAATGAACGTGTCAAGAGTCTATGGCAGGCGACACAGTATTCCAATTTGTTCCATCATCTTTACGTAACCCCTTAGGTAATGCCACGTCCCAGTCAACACAAATCCCTCAACATTCCGCACTGGATCATGATGTCATCGATGCAAACGAAGAGTAATCAACGACAATTTTAGTGTAGTCCCGTTTGTTAAGTGAACCAAGTTCTTCATTGACACTCAAACACCAGCGATGGTGATTAAAATCACCAATATACCAATCCCTAGGACTGCATACGTGTCGAAACTCATCGACACTAATGTGAGCTAAGAGCATTAGCCGATCCTTTTTTCCTTGTTGGACGTCGGGGCTCATAAACGATTTCAACGGGAACGAGAATGGTGCTTGACCCTGTAAACGCGATTACGTGTGGTTTAATCTGGGTATATCGGCTTGTTAGTGATGATGGTACAATCTCAGAGCAGCCAGCACAGCATCCTTTTCGTCTTCCAGCCAAGTCAAGGGGAGTTAAACCTCTAAGCAACTAGTGTTGACGGTAGGAATGTGGTGGTTGACTCAGTGCTCACAATCGAAATCATTCGCGACGTCATCGACGACACCTCCGCCAAAACCATGGAATGAGAGTAAAACAAGGGCTAGCTTTCCGTTCTTGAGTATCACAGACCCAGGTGCGTGGATCAGGCGGTGTAGCCGGCGTCCTCGCTGTTTCTTGATCACTGTAGGGGTGTCGGGGAGCTACGCGATCGTAAAACAGGGACGCGCTCATATGAGCGGGACGCGCCTTTGATCGACTTCGCACGCTCGTCTAATCTAGGGGTCGTCAGCGTCGTAGTCGCTCCAGGACACAACCCTTTAGAAATGGGGCCAACTTGAGGGATAGAACTGGTAACTATGATTCATTCGGGGTGTACAAGGTGTCCTCGTATCTTTCAGAGTTCCGCTTTAGTAGACTGGGGCGTTCGTCGCACAATCGGATGGCGAGATTGTGACCCNCAGCGTCGTAGTCGCTCCAGGACACAACCCTTTAGAAATGGGGCCAACTTGAGGGATAGAACTGGTAACTATGATTCATTCGGGGTGTACAAGGTGTCCTCGTATCTTTCAGAGTTCCGCTTTAGTAGACTGGGGCGTTCGTCGCACAATCGGATGGCGAGATTGTGACCCAACTTTGACGATATGTCCGCGCGTTATTGCCACTTATCGCGCGCACCCAAGTGTTTTTTTGAACCACTTTCTACCCCATACCAACCATGGCCCTCAAGAAAATTACTCCTACCGTGACTAAGAAGTACCGCTCCATAGTTGGCAAACCTGGCGAAAAGGGCACCTCCAAGATCGAAAGCTGGTTTTCGAAGGGGCAACAACCGGGCACCGACAACGAGGACCAGCAATACGACGTCGCCAAAGCTCTGGAATCTCATGTCGCCGCTAACGAACACGATGAAGTGGATCTGGGCAATGTGCAGCAACAAGACGCTGCCCCAGTCTCCNACTATGATTCATTCGGGGTGTACAAGGTGTCCTCGTATCTTTCAGAGTTCCGCTTTAGTAGACTGGGGCGTTCGTCGCACAATCGGATGGCGAGATTGTGACCCCACTTTGACGATATGTCCGTGCGTTATTGCCACTTATCGCGCGCACCCAAGTG